TTGGTTTAAGGGTGTGGATACCTGTGGCTAGTTTCTCATTCCTAACATTTTATGATCTTATTTTTTTATGTCACACAAAATTTTTACAGGATTTTCAACATGTTTGTAATCCATTTACAAAATAAAAGTTAAATAAGGAATCCACCTACCAGAGCAGACTGTGATGTGAAAGCAGAATAAGCACCAGCCTATTTCAAATAAAGATGTGTCTGAACTATTTCTTCTCTATAGCAGAAGTTACAGTTCCTCTTATCTCAAGAAACATAAATGCCAAACATAAAACTTGTTAAATCTGCTGTCAAAAACATATAGAAATCATTAGCCTTACTACACTAACAGTAAAATGGTATTTATTTAGTTTTAGGTAGAGGCAGCATTGTCCTGTGTGGTTGCCAGTAGTAGTGGTGCCTTACACAAATTGGATGAGGAAAACGAAGAAGGTCGACTAACTCCAAATTCTTTTACCTCATTTAAAAAAAATGCTTTGCCATTGTAACTTCAAAAATCATAACAAAAGTGGTTTTCTTGTGGAAAAAGCTAGCTTACATCACTTGTTTAACAGCCCAAACCATAGGCATGGGTGTGATTCTTGATGGAAATCTCAGTTTTGCATACCAGTTCCAATTAATTGATTTATTAATTTCTCTGGATGAAACCTCATACATACATATATTCTGTTTTGGATATTTAGATTTCAATGTACTACTAATTAAACGTAGTGAAACATGCTTGTAAACAAGTTAGCAGTCCTGCCGTTTGTTTCAATGAAAATATGACATGCAAAACATTTCCAACCGTTGGGACTAGATATTGAGCTAGTTTATTATTTGTGAGTAAATATCTAAGAACAAAAATTCGCTTTACTCTAGTCTAAGGTGTCAGGATTTGGTTGTGGTTTGAGTCCCCATATGCAGAGGCAGGGAGGCAGAGGTGAGTTTCTTTTAGATTTAATAAAAGGTTAACAGACAACAAAAATCAAACACGAAAAAGGTAAAACAAACCAGAAACCATTGAGACATCAGGGGAAAACAATCACGACGAGGAAGACACAGTAAGACGGAGTTGGAGGAAGTTAGACGAGGAACCAGCACTGAGGAACTGCACAGGGAGAGTATTTATGCGAGACTGAACAAAGAGAGGACTAACGAGCAGATTGGGAGCAGGTGTGAAGAGAGCGGTCTAAGGAGCTAGGGAAAAGGAGACCAACACAAGAGGGCAGCAGAGGACAACAAATAAAAACCTGAGAACTGAAATATAACCACAAAACAACAAAATAGGAATTAAACCAATAAAACTAGAAAACATGGAACAAAGTTAAACTGAATACTCAAAAGAAAACATAACAGAACCAAGACTGTGACATAAAGCACCACAAGGAGTGCATTGGTGAAAAAAAATCCATGTTTTCTCATAATAAAATCTCCATATCCACTGAATTAGATAAACAGATAAAACGTGATTTTTTTTGCCTGGTCCTACTTGTGCGTAAAGCAAATCAAAAGTAAAAAACAAGGTATTATCAAGTTCTTGTCTATAAAAAAGAGCTGAACAGGACCGGATCAGTCTCGATGGTCTGGAATGTTATTGACCATTTTTCAGGTCAATGTCAAAACAATAAAGCAAGAAATTAAATTTTTAAAAATGACTTTCTTTCTTCTTTAGTCTTCTAAGGGGCAAAACCCTAATAATGGTAGTAAATAAAGTTTGGTTTATATTGTGTAATAGAGAAAATTGTCTTTTATCTGCATTACATGTTGTTTACCATTTGATCCATCAGATATTTAGGTTAAAGAATGCAAAGTATTTTGGAAAAGATAATTTAGTCATTATTTAGTAAATATAGTCTAAAGATTTTTTAAGTAAAGCTTGTTTTGTTAGTCCAGACATAAAAAAGGCAGTTAATTGATGCTTTACCACACTCTGAAATTCTTCAGCTCAGTCTTGTTTCTTTTGTTTATGGATTATACATACATTATTAACTAGTTTAAAGGTATATGTGTTTTTCTAAAATGTCCAGAATGCCGTAAAACTATAGGAACCAAATCAAGACATTTACTTATATATAAAAAGTAAAGAATTTTGAAATAAAAAAATGTTAACTCCTGGTAAAACCAGTTGTTATACAATCATTACTCCCTGCAAATTATTAGAGGTATACCAGAATTTATATGGCTTTCAAACACATAATGCTTTTTTCTGTACCTGGAGAAACTGGTGCCTCATTACCAGTATTTTTATGAGTTGGGTTTTTATAGAATATTTTCAAACAAATAATCAGTTAACCTAATGACCAAAAGGTATTGCTCAGAATTTGATTTAATATTATTTTTGTCAGGAAGAACTTTTGCATCTTGCCTGTCAAACTGTTTAATATAACATTGATTCTAGTATAATGACAAAGCTTATAGTCTGAATCTCAACAAAGGTATGCTTGAATGGAAGTGTTGAGTTTATTTGCTATATTTAAAAAAAAAAATAGCCCTACTTGACTAGGTGGTTGATTTGAAAACTGAGTATAGGCAAAGCCATTTGCTTTTCCTGAATGTGCACACCATGTTGGAGATAACAGAGGATGCCTTACTAGTATAGTTTGTAAAAACAGCTATTGCATTATTTTTGTTGTTTAAGGTAAAGATATGTTTGTTAAAAGAGAGACAATGGTGGATGTTAAACCCTGTCTATGATAAGTGATGTGAGGGAAAACATGAGGTAACAATCTTCACTAAATATTATGGTAATTAAAGAGCTTGTGTTAAGGATTATTTTTGTGTGTGTGCTTTTTTGCTGTTTTTTGCTTTTTTTTTTTTTTGTTCTGTATGTGCGTGTGTCTGTACTGGGGGTTTGTATGGTGGGGGGTCAGCTGTATTTCCTGTCCCATTTGGTGTTAATAGATGGAAAATTTGAGCAGTTAGTGATTTGATTCACTTGTGCAAAAAGGAATTGTATTTGGATCTGTATTCCTTGGAGTGCTGGTAAAGATGTGCATAAAGCTTTAAAGCAAAACAATCATTTATGTCAAGGTAACAATTGGACAGAAAATGACAAAATTCAATTATGCATTTTATTTTTAAATAGATTTATTTAGCATTTAGGCTTTACAGATTGTAAGATTTAAGCACACACACAGAGGGGACTTTACACAGTCTCGAGTTAAGCAGTGTTCAAACTGCCATGTGGACCAAAACTCTCATGGATATGTAGGCAAACAATGTTTTATTGTAAGATACTTTGTTTTATTGTTATTTATGTGGAGACGGGATCCATGAATTCTTGTAGATCTGAATCGTAAAAAGGATCTTGCATATTTCTTGTTGAAAATAGCGGAAAGAAAAAAAATAATGTAAAACAGAACCCACTGCCTCCATAACATTTGGAGTAGTGACTTTTTTACGATTCACATTAAGATATATGTTGATTTAATTCCTAGAAAATCTATCATTTAGTCTTTTTGTTTCATAACATCTTCCTTAGAAGTGGAGGCATAGTTTATCTTGGACCACTCAGAATTTTTTTTTGTGTGGTTCTATTGTAAAAGGTTCCTAGTATAAGCCACCAATCTGTTTACTGAAATCTAAACTAGTTTATAATGAAATGCACTGTACAAAGGTGCCCCATTAGAAATAAATCAACAGGCTCATACAGTCTCCACGGTACTTAAACGAAAGGGCAGTGGTGATTCTGCTGGGTGTTTTGGGTTTAAAGCAGTTAAAGTACCAGTTAGGGTCCCAGTAGTAAAATGAAAATGCTGACATCTCTAAAGGTGTAAACAAAACGGTCCCTGACAATACTCCAAACATGGGATTGGCACATAGTTTGCTGTTGTTGAGAGTAATTTAAGAAGTTAGGGAGGTCATTTAAAAAAAAGAAAAAAAAAAGAATAAAAATTAATACATTTTAGGTTCTAAGAGATTGCATTGCATAGTAATTATTGGTCCTCTTCTGATTTTTTCAATAATTATTTATCAACATTGGATTTTTTTTTTATCATTAAATGAAGGTATTCCAAAAAAAAAAAAAAAAGTTCTTTGATTTCTATAGTACAATTACCACATGTGTGAATTGGCAAAAATATGGCGAAACACCACCTATGATGACACATGTCACAGTACGATTTATCTCCAGATACATTAACGAAGACAATTGCGATTATTTTTATAACAATATAAATCTGGAAAACCCCACAAGACCTTGTTGTTGCTCATGGACAAACATGGATGTTTGTGTATAAATATTACATTTAAGATCCATTTAGTCCTCTAAAGTGAATAAATTGTTATCTCTGGATGGCAACAACCCCCATTGAGCTGTCATAACGTTTTATCTCTGTGGGCAGAGCTGGCTGTAGTCATTTTGGTGCAACATTATGATGTGACATCCTCCAATCTTGATCTTATATGACAGTTCTGGAGAAAACTTAATTAATAAGCTTAAGTGCCTGGTGGTAGCAGTCTGTTTTCTCAGCTTAAACTATAATTATTTATTTTATTTTCCAACTCTGGGTAATAATAGATGGTCAAATATGTGAAAAAAAATTAAAAATATAAATAAAGAAAAGTATAACTTTATGAAAGCTACAGTTTACATTGATTTTTGTCTTTTTATAGGAGTTTCTTCAATATGCTGCAGTAGATACCAATGGCTGTAGAAAGGAAGGACCACTATAGCATCTTACCGCTGATCAAAGGAAGCGTCAGAATGAAGACACTGGTGTTGTATCACAAGATTAGAGCAGTAACATGTTCTACATCTAATATGCACTAATATACCGACTAGGAGATACTGTAGATGTTTCTAAAAAAATATTTATTGCCATGAATCAGGTCAGAAGGACCCTGTACTCAGGCAAGACAGACATTGGGACAATTCAATCTCTATATAGAGTGGGGACTATATAGTGGACTTTATAGTGAACTCAGTTAACTGACCGTTCGGGCAGATGATCTCCCCCTTGGTCACGTAACTCCTCCTCCACTGCGCAGGACCTGCGGACCAGTGATGGCCTAGTGGTTAGAGAAGTGATGGCAATTAGGAGGACCATTTATTTTGATGATCCTCCACTATACCTTTAAGTTAAATGTAAGTCAAGGTGGTGGTGTCCAAACGTTTCCCTACCATAGACCCCCTAACAGTATCAGATGATGGCCAGGGGCCATCTTTTAGACTTTTAGATTTTGTTTGTCACTTTTAGCAACTATTCAACTATAAATTACCTGTGTACCATAATAGTATCAACTAACATGTTATCAACATTGTATTATATTCCTAATTAATAAGAAACCAAAGAAATCAAATGTCTCTCAGTGTTTCTGTCAGAGTTATATTAATGTATTTTTCCACATGTAGACATGAGCCATGCTTTATCTTAAGTACCTTTAGAGTGTACAGCTAGTCTCAAACAAGTAGATTATTGCAAAAGGTAGAAGGTGGGAGAGTCCTTTCTCACAGATGGTGTGCTTTTATAGTTCAGTTTCGAATCCTTATTCCATCTTAATATATTATTATAAGCTGTACTTTGTCGTAAATGTTTAAAGATAATTTATATATATATTATGATAATGATACAAATAAATAGATTTTAATTTCCTTTTTATTATTTTCCATCCAATTCCCTGAGGTCCCTCAAGCAACCCCCTTATGGTTGATACGTTTTTCAAATGTTGTCCCTAGATGAACGTGATACTGGCCTTTATGTTCTATTTGACAGCAGTGGTATTGGCCCTGCTGCCGGCAGACGCCATTTTTACCCATTCCCTCACGTTGTTAAAACTGACCTCAGCTGATACAAGTAAGGGCTGCAGTGCTTTAGAAAATAGTTCAGGTTCATTCTTCACCTGGATAAGTTGCTGATGAGTAATTCTTGTAGGCCTGTGTGACCTACTTCCATATTTTCTCTGGTTGAACTGTAGTTTACAGGAATTCCGAAGCCTTAGATATTGCTTTGTATTCATTTTTACAGAAAGGTGGATGTTACTTATTTTGTTTAACATTTGTTGTTGAATTCCCTTAAATCAGGACCAGATCAGTTGCTTATTGTGATCTTTTAGCCTCTGTAGCCTCCGTCATGTTGTCAGATTTCGTTTAAGTGATTTATTAAATATACATGTCTGCCAGGTTTCAGGCCTTGTTGTGACTAATGAAACTTGATCATTAGAAATCGGTAATGGAAAAATATGTATGAGGAATACACTTTAAGGCTTTAACACATCTTTTCCAGTGGTGCCTGTGTATTATTGGCCCTACTCTGCAGATTAACTTTTGTTTTACAATTGAGACTAATCTTTGTAACCATTGTGGTTTTCGTTGTGGTCAGAGGAACACCGGCGCCCCTGTTTGTGGACTGGAGCCCACTATTTGTCCTAATATTGTATAACTAGTTATTCTGCCAATATAATATTGTATAACTGCTTTCGTTTCTCTGTGTTCCTCTAGTGTGTGTGCCCCCAATACCTGCATTAGGTTGTGATGACCCACACTTCTTCCAAATGTATCTGTGACCCTCCCCAATCCTGACTCCTAACCTCTAATCCCTGACCTTTGACCTCCACTATGGGCAGTGTTGGCAGTGGGGTGGCAGGAGAGCAGGAGTTTGCCATGAAGTCCGTGGGCACCAGGACCACCCTGCCCCGAGCCCCTCCTCTCTCTCGCCGTTGCCCTGCAGACCGCAGCTGCAGCGCCGAGCGACTGCCCCGCCCTCCGGCGACTATTTCGGATGGAACGGCATCAAGCGATGAGCGAGGCAGTGTTAGTATTGGGACTGGGACCTGCACTGGGACTGACCGGCCAACAGAGACAGCCTCCTCAACCCACACTGAATGTACCATGACCGCCCCCTCCAATAACAACCAGTTGGACTGTGGGAACGTAGCTGTGAGGAGGGAGAGGGAATGGGAGAGGGAGAGGCAGCGCGAGAGGGGCAGGGATCGGGACCGGGATCGAGACTGGGACCGGGAGAGGCTGGAGAGGGAGCGCGAGAGGGAGAGAAACCGGGAGAGGGAACGGGAGAGGGTGGAAAGGGAGAGGCTGGAACGGGAGAGGGAGCGGGAGAGGGAGCGAGCCAGGGAGAGGGAGAGAGAGAGAATAGAGAGGGAGAAGATAGAGAGGGAGAGGGAGAGAGAGAGGGAGAGAGAGAGGGAGAGAGAAAGAGAGAGGCTGGAGAACGAGAGGATGGAGAGAGAGAGGGAGAGGGAGATGCAGATGCAGGCGGCAGGTCTGGATGTTTGTGGAAACATTGTGGGTCGAGGAGTCAGCGAGAAGACCAGTGTGGGCATGAACCACCACCAGCACAGAGAGATGGTTGCTACCAGAGCCGACAATGAAAACAATCCAGTCAGCCACAACCCACCCAAGATCATGGCCGTGTCAGGAAAACTGGAGCAGGTAGTTTGACTTTTTGGACCACAGCATGATAAACTACATAAAATTATACTGATAAAAAACTCCTAATCTATCAAATAACATTTTAAATGATTTGTTTCCTTTCACAGAATAACACATGTTTTTTTTTTCAAAAGCAGGAAAATTGTTGTGTTTTTCTAGATCAAGGGGGGGGGGGCACATCCTTAGTGCCAGTATACTACACATCCTTTGTGCCAGTATACTACAAGTTCAAAATGTGTCCTTGGTCCAGTGGACCTAAATCAAATGGCTGAATTACCTACTGAACAAGAAGTTAATTTCTCCGATGTCCTTAAAATTATCTCATTAGTTGATTCAGGTCTGCTGGATAAAAAACACAACTAAAATTTGCAGAGTAATGTCCATCAAGAACTGGAAATTCCCACACCTGTATATGAGTGTGTATATATACACTACTCAAAAAAATTAAAGGAACACTTTATAATCAGAGTATAGCATCACGTTAATTAAACTTCTGGGATATTGATTTGGTCAGGTAAGTAGCAGAGGGGGTTGTTAATCAGTTTCAGGTCCTTTGGTGTTAATGAAATTAACAACAGGTGCATTAGAGGGGCAACAACGAGACTACCATAAAAACATGAATGGTTTTACAGGTGGAGGCCGCTGACATTTTGTCCCCTCCTCATCTTTTCTGACTCTTTTTCACCAGTTTTGCGTTTGGCTAGGGTCACTGCCACTACTGTTAGCATGAGGCGCTACCTGGACCCTACAGAGGTTGCACAGGCAATCCAACTCCTCCAGGATGGCACATCAATACATGCCGTTGCCAGAAGGTTTGCTTTGTCTCCCAGCACAATCTCAAGAGCATGGAGGAGATTCCAGGAGATAGGCAGTTACTCCATGGAGCTGGACAGGGCTGTAGAAGGTCTACAACCCATCAGCAGGACCAGTATCTGCTCCTTTGTGCAAGGAGGAGCAGGAGGAGCACTGCCAGACTCCTACAAAATGACCTCCAGCAGCCCACCGGTGTGAATGTCTCTGACCAAACAATCAGAAACAAACTTCACGAGGGCGGCCTGAGGCCCCGACGTCCTCTAGTGGGCCCTGTGCTCACTGCCCGGCACTGTGGAGCTCGATTGGTATTTGCCATAGAACACCGAACTTGGCAAGTCTTCCACTGGCGCCCTGTGCTTTTCACAGATAAGAGCAGGTTCACCCTGAGAACACGTGACAGACATGAAAGGGTCTGGAGAAGCCGTGGAGAACTTTATGCTGCCTGTAACATCGTTCAGCATGACTGGTTTGGTGATGGGTCAGTGATGGTCTGGGGAGGCATATCCATGGAGGGACGCACAGACCTGTACAGGCTAGACAACGGCACCCTGACTGCATTAGGTATCGGGATGAAATCATTGCACCCATTGTGAGACCCTATGCTGGTGCAGTGGGTCGTGGGTTCCTTCTGGTGCACGACAATGCCCGGCCTCATGTGGCGAGAGTATGCAGGCAGTTCCTGGAGGATGAATAAATTTATACCATTGATTGGCCCCCACGCTCACCTGACCTAAATCCAATAGAACACCTATGGGACATTATGTTTCGATCCATCCGACACCGCCAGGTTGCACCTTAGACTGTCCAGGAGCTCAGTGATGCCCTGGTCCAGATCTGGGTGGAGATACCTCAGGACGCCATCCGTCGTCTCATTAGGAGCATGCCCCGACGTTGTCAGGCATGCATACACGCACATGGGGGGCATACAAACTACTGAATAGCATTTTGAGTTGCTGCAATGTAATTTCAGGAAAATGGACTAGCCTGCCGCGTCATTTTTTCTCTCTAATTTTTCGTGTGTCTTTGAATTCAGCCCGCTGTAGGTTGATAATTTTCATTTCCATCAAATGATGTGGCATCCTGTTGTTCCTAACACATCACCTAGTCCATATCAGTATAAATAAACAGCATGATTTTTTTTGCCCCATTGAGATCTGATGTGTTTTCAACGTGTTCCTTTATTTTTTTGAGCAGTGTATGTATATATCAAAGATTTATTGATTATTATTATTATTATTATTACTTCATTCGATGTCTTGGCGGATAATCTATTAAAAAAACTGCTAAGTGAAGGGAATACATAATCGTGGTAGGGAGGGAATACAGACAATAAGTGAAAAACAAATTAAATCCACAAAAACAGCTAGATAAGTATCCAAAAAAGTAATAATAATGTTGAGCCAACATAGAGTTGGTAAGGCGTTACTCCATCTCAGCTGATTCAGGCTTTTTGCTTGATTGCGGTTTACTCTGTCTGTCTCTCTGGGAGCTGGAGTCTCCAGGGAAGGAGCTATCGCAAGGAACTGAGCTGCATATCAGAGGCAGAGTTTGGAAACCTCAGCGCCATAACAGCTTACAGAAAAATGTGTTTCAGATTTTATTATGCACAACCTTTAAGTTGAAAGAGACAAAGCTTCTTAACTACAACTCAATGTTTCAAACCCAACATAATTTTACTGAATAAAAAGGCAACTTTGTAAATTAACATATTTATAAGTGTTTAAAATTATGTAATTATAAAATATTTTAAGTTCAGTGAAAGTCCTAATTTACCAAATGACACAAGAAACATTAGAAAATGTTTACATATAATAAGAGGCATTGTGAAAAAACTCTTTTGGACCTTTTGAAGCTTTTTGGTCGACATCTGAGTGTGATAAGAGGATATCGTAACCGACTGATATTTTGAGGGGACCTGGATTAAAGCAATTGTTCTAGATACAGTAAGACGTCATGTCTGAGGTGTTTGGGTTTCCAACATGGGAGTAAGCACAGATGAGCAGTACATTTAGTCTAAAACAGGGACTACACAGTTTTCAATGAAAGAGGGATTGTTGCCTTTGCTTGGAGCCAATATGACTGTTTAGCAAAGGCAGGGATACAAATTTAGGTTTAAAAAATTTAGGGTTAAAATTTAGGGTTAAAAAAACAAACTTAAAAAATGTTCTGATGCTGCCATTCTGTTGTTGGAATGCTATTTGGATATTGCATTAAAACACTGAAAAATGCCTGAGAATTTTAAATCTGTTAAACACTTGGTTTTGTAATGGAGGACCCCTATTTAATAAGAATTGATTGATTAACTGATTGACAGGTTGCTTTATGGCCATTAGTTGCAGACTCCTAAACTAGGAAGTCCTATGACTAATAATTTAAATTCTATTATTCATTTTTTCATAAGAGTGATTTTTAACTAATCCATTCAGGTTTTCAAACAAACATAAATTACCTAGATAATCAAAATATCTGCAATTCAACTTATTACATCTCCTTATGATGTTGCTTAATTTTTTTCCCAGGTTTTGTGTGCTAATTAAATCTTTCTGAACCTTTAAGTTTGTGGTCTTTGTGAAGCCCTTTAATTGTAATAACATCAATAAAAACAACCCTAACTGTTAAAATGTAACAAAATTATCTTTGGATTTATGTTCAACTGCAAATGTTTCAATAAGGGAATTGAAGGCTTAAAAGAAACAAATATTCAGAGCATTTTATTATTTAGATTCTTCGATTATATTTGCTGTAAATGAATTTTTTTCTGATTTGAAGGTTTCTGCATGTTTCAGATAATGGTAGAAATGCTGCAAAACAAAACGAATGTTTCCACAACTCAAAAGTTTCTTATATTATTTTTTTTCTTTTTGAGTATAAAACAAACAAAAAAACAAAGTAACATTAGAACCCTTCTCCTGCAGGAAAACATTTTAAATAACACCGCTTAATATATATATATGAAAGAACCCCTTGACATCAAAGATGGAGGTGATGCTGCAGACTTCATTAACTGATACTAATGATAATGTTATTCTATCCACAAGCTTTCATTAAAGTTCAGGTCATGGTTTTGGAGTGGCCTCTCAGAGGGTCTGAGGTAATTGTTAAAATAAAACAACTTTGGTATGTTTCAGGTTATTTATTTGTAGGAACATCCAACTGTCTTATCTGAGCTGTCACTGTTGCCTCAAAGGAAATAGTTCATGAAGAACTCAGGGACCAACAAACTTCAAGCCTACTAGAGCGTAATACTGAAAGCTGTGGAATAAACGGTGTCAGTGTTGCATGGCTATGACATAAAACTCTTCACAGCTGCCAAATGACCTCTGAAAAGCAATATGGTCTGAGAAGTTGAAGGTTTTTTTTTTCTATTTGGACAAAGAAATACTATACAAGATTAATTACTCATAAACTAAGCTGAAAACATTTAAAAGAAAACATTGAAAGTCAATGGAAGTTTTACATAAAGAACATTGTAAATTTGAAAGGTTTGTATTTAACAAGTTACTCTGTAATACACCTTTTTTAACATACTATGTTGAATTAGGAGGAACAAATTACAAAACTAAAATATAAAAGATTGTGCTGGGGGTGCGGCAGTGGCAAAGGGTTTAAGAGCATGATCCATGCACAGAGGCTTTGGTCACAGGTTTGAGTCCCGGGCTGTTGACCTTCACCCCCTTTATCTACTCAAATTTCCTGTCTACCTACTTTCAAAAGTAAAAGAAAAATAAAGGCCACAGGCAAATAAAATGATCTAATAATTTTTAAAAAAAGAGTCACATGTACTAAAAAAACATCTTGGATTTTTTGACCGTGCTAATCCACTATTCATAAATATAATGTAATAAAAAGATCTTGCAAAATATAGAAAAATGTAGTTTATGTACAAAGCAAAAAATAAAAAATACTGTGAATTATAAGGAGAAGTTCTTTTCTATTCCAGAAATTAAATCAAATTTTTAGAGATAAATGCTAATTCACCTTACAAAAAGTCAAAAACGAAATCAAATGTAAAACAATGCTAATATAGAGTCATATAGAGTCATGTACATCCTCTCTTAGTTAAAAAAAAAAGCTGTGCACAACATTATATTTTAAAATTATTACAAGTGTAGTATATTTCTTGTATTATCTGAATTGCTTATTGTTGTTAAGTGAAGCTTAACTTTGTTGGAAGAAGGCAAACATTCATAAGCTTTTGCTTCAGCCTAAGCCTTTCAGCCACGATATTGTTTAGGCGAACACAATGGGACTCTGGGAATGGTTCCATGGATTCGACTGTAATCCACGTTAAAGTGATACCCAAGCAGCTTCCAAAAATGAAATAAAGTGTAAAATACTTTAATAAAGTTCACAGATGCATCTCAATTTCACAATTGCTCTGATGATTGGTGTTATAAACTTTTAACTGAAACTGCTTTTCTTCACATTGCATAACTCTCAGGTCAGTTTGGCTCAGGTATTGTCTAACATGTATCTGCCTCCTCCTTCTCGTTCGCAGGCTATGCAGAGCACCTCAGGCCTCGTCCGTCCCTCTGCCTTCAAGCCGGTGGTTCCCAAAAGCTTTCACTCCATGCAAAATCTGGTGGGCCAGGCAGGAGGGGCCGGGAGTGAGGGAAAGACTGACACCAGGGGCGAGGGCTTCTCTGAGGGCAGAGTAGGCAGGAGGGGCAGGGATGCAGGAGTAGGGGAGACAGGTGAGGTGCCAGAGGCTCTGCTCCTGGACCAAGACAGTCCAGTTAGGGTGAGTAGAAGCGATGGAGGGGGAAATGGTACTGAAGTAGTTCAGGGAGGAATGTCAGATTCAGGGAGAAACTCCCTGACTAGTCTGCCCACCTACACAGGCTCGGGGTCTGGTTGTGGGCCCCCAGCAGTCTTAGGGCCCCTCAGTGCTTCTACCAGCCACATTAACAGGTTGGGCATGGCGGGGGCAGCTGCAGGTCTGGACAAACTGGAAAAGCCCACCTACCAGGTAAGGCTGTTGCCTGGCTCATGTACAGTATAGCTCAGGTCTAATGTTGTGGTGAAGCATTATCGTCATGTTGGGCTTTTATCCTGCAGAATGGGCTGAGCGCCTCAGACAGCGGTCGGTCCTCCTCAGGGAAGAGTTCTTCATCCTATCAGAGGCTCAGCCACCTGAGCGACGCCCCAGCTCCTCTACGACCCTCCCCCTCCTCTGATGACATCATCCAGGACCTCGAAGACCGGCTGTGGGAGAAAGAGCAAGAGGTGAGTGGACATTCACAAATGCCACGTTTCCTGGAAAGGATGAGGGAAAAAACCCTACAGAGTAAACAGAAATTGTGGAAATCTATTAAAAAAGCTGGATGATTTTGCTCGTCCTCTTACACTCGTCCTCTTACACTCGTCCTCTTACACTCATACACACTGAGCTGTTAATCCATTTCTTGTCTCTTTTCTGCAGGTGCAGCACATGCGCAGAAACCTGGACCAAAGTGAGGCAGCCATCATTCAGGTGTTTGAAGAGAAGCAGCGTGTTTGGGAGAGACAGATGGACGAGCTGAGACAGAACTATGCTTCACGTCTGCAGCAGGTAACCTCATTCACATGAGACATTGTGTACTTTGTCTCATGGTACTTCCATTCAGAGCTATTGATCCACAAAAGAAATGCACGAAAACTAAGCATCTCATGCTGCCACACAAACAGTTGTTTATTTTTCCCTGGTAGATCAACATATGTTGTTCAGATAGTACAATTTTCTCTCTCCTGAATTTGTTATAACATGCTGCTCTTAAGCTTACTGGGTTACAGCAGATCCTTTGTACCTCTTGCTGCTTCCTCTCCTCTTTCACTTATTAATTGAACCTCCTGATATTTGACTAAAGTTCTGTAGATATTGTGGAAGGAACAGGGATATAAATCCTCACAATTGGAAGGTTTCACTTTTAGCGATTGATGACAACCAATAGGCTTAGATCTACACCATTTGCTCTGCAGCTGAATGAGGTAGATAGGGAGGTTCTTATATTGGGACAAAGTGAAAAGTTATTAGTCTTTTCAGGAACATCTGAAGTCCTGAGAAACGTTCATTTTCACAGCCATGCAATGCATTCCTCTATGTGATTCAACAAGAATGCAAGGGATTTTGTTTGTCATACTACTAAAGATTTGCATGTTTGTAGTGTGAAATTTGGACTCAAGTGTCTATTTTATATTTGAGAAAAGAAAGAAATAGATGAAGCTGATTTAAGTAAAGCTGGAGTTCAGCAGTCTATGAGGTGCAGGGTAGAAAAATCTAAGCTCTTAAATCCAGATCTATGCAGCTTTCTGATGAGGCAGAGATGTCAATTGGCCTTCCTGACCAGACAGGAAGTGCTTGCACTGCAGGTGAGATCAGTGGATAAGTGCACAACCAGGTACCTGTAGCTGGAGACCAGCACCACAGCTGCTCCTCTAAGGTACAGGAGATGAGTAGGATTCTTGTTCCTTCTGAAATCCACCACCATCTCCTTAGTCATTTTCACATTGATGCAAATGTAAGGTGCTCAACTTCCTCTGTATTTGGACTCATAATTGTTTTTGATGAAACCAACTGCTGCTGTCCTGTCTGATAACTTCACTTTATATAATAGCTATTTTTATGATTAAATGCATCTAAACCTAAGCTTTTCCTAAAAAAACACAATTGGCAAAGACCTACATGGCTTCAGGTACCAACCAAGAAATGCAGCATTATGCATACTCTACCTTATAAAACTATGCAAATTTTATTCACTCTTTCACATTTTAACATTTGTATGTTACAACTACAAATTTGAACATATGTAGTTTGTATTTAAAGGAAGGGGTCAATTTAAATAGCAGGGAAATAAAATGTGGCTTAACAGTGCGTTCAAAAAATAAAGATCCTAAACCTAAACTGTGCATGTTCTACATCATAGCCATAAGTCATTTGAGTCTCCATCTCATAGCTTCTACCTCTAGCTTCTGGCACATTTGCCCATTTTTCTTGATAAATAGGACTGATTTTTTATTTTTTTTAACAAAGTTTGTAAGTACTGTTACTGGAGAACCATAAATCCAGCCACACAGGAGTAAGCATGAAAACACAAAAGGTTTATTCAACAGAAGTCAGGGATGTTGCTCTAATCAAGGAACTACTATAGATGTCTACATGTCTATAGATTATCGCACATGAGCTGTGGATCTCTGTTGCTCCTCCAGAGTTAACAATGTTTCACCTGGTTGGCTGATTATTCACAGAATAATATATTTTGTCCCCTCTTGGATTGCAGTCTTCCATTTTGGTTTAACAGATTATATTGTTTTATAATCTTAATCTACTTTATGCGGATGAAGATTCTCAGTCAAGCAGATCATAGTCATTCCAAAAAAGTTAAAAGAAAAATCCACTGGACTTTGTTTCCAAGTTTCAAGATGTTAAGCTTCCCATCCATGAAGCTCTTTTTTTATTGTGACATTATGAATTGAAAAAGCGCCCTGGAAAGGAAGCAATAGTCTTTAAACTTGGAAACAAAGTCCAGTGGATTGTTCTTCTAAATCTACTTTGAACATCTCTACATGTCTATTCCTGATGTTCTGCAATCTTCCTTGTTCTTTATGATGCTGTTAGATCAACAATGATCTATAATAAACTTCTCAATGGAACAGCTGGATTTATAATAATGTTAAATAACATTAAATCCATCTACTAATTAGAGGATGTCTGAAAGCAATTGGCTGAGCAGGATTCTAATAAATGGGTCTAAATATAAATCCATGCTGGACTTTTCACTTTTTTTCAGACATTTTTTTTTTCTTTTTTCCTTTTGTCAGAAATCTTAATAAACCTCAGAAAGGCTTAAAGTTTAAGGGATCCATATACTTTTGCAGGCTGTAAATTGTATATCTATCTTCTATTGAAGGTTACCCGCCGGGCTCAGCGCTCCCAGACCGCCCTGCAGGCCCAGATAACGCGTCTGTCCCAGGACAAGAGGAGACTCCAGGAGGAGATGGCAGCTCTGCTGGCTCAGAGGGAGGAGCTGGAGAGAAAGTGTCTGGATTACAGGAAAGAACAAGCTGACATCTTGCCTCGTCTGGAAGAGACCAAGTGGGAGGTGAGACATGAGTTTTCTCCCTTTTCTTGTGTAAAAGTTCTGCAGGCCTACATCCAGGTAGGATTAAGAGGTGAGCCTTCAACATCTGTGCCTTTTCAGAAAAACAAGCTTCTACTGTATTTAACTTCATGTTCCCTCCACAAAGAAGCAAGAACTATGAATTACTTAATAAAACTCCCCGTACATTCATCAATCTAAAAATATAAAGTATAAATTTAAAACATTTTTTACATGTATTTTATTAGACTTGCCATCAGCTATGGTAATAGTGATCTGAAAAAAGAAATGTTTCTATTAAATTAGATTGTTTATCAAAAATGTCCTGTGTAAAGTTACGCTATGACAAATATATGTTCTTTTAGACATCATTGTGCCAGTAATACAAAGATAAAATACAAAAGATTTATACAACTCACACATGGTTGCTGTGGCAGGTGTGTCAGAAAGCAGGTGAGATCTCCTTGCTGAAGCAGCAGCTCCGGGAAAGCCAGGCTGAAGTGACCCAGCGGGCCGGAGAGATGGTGGCCCTGAGGGGCCAGCTGAAGGAGCTCAATGCCCAGCTGAGGGAGCGAGAGGAGGTCATGCTGGGCCTGAAGGACTCCTACAGCACAAAGTGTCTGGAACTGGAGAAGTGTGAAGGCGAGCTGAGAAGGACGCTGTCTGAGGTGGGATATCAGAGCAAACATTTTATTTTATCATATCGCAAAAGTTCTGCGAGATTTATTAATCAGGTACCTAAACAACCCATCAACATTGTTTTGCACTAAAACTGAAGTTTGACGCTGGAGCAAAGCAAGCTTAATACATACAAAAAGCTATTTTTCAAAAATAATAGTTAGATTTAATATAAGTGGGTCCTCATATTTAAAAAAAAATAATGTAAGAATATCTATCCTAATGCATGGGGATAAATATATGTTGCCCTGTCTGGTCATGCAAATTAATAATATGTTAAAGGTTAAGGTTGTAGGTAGGAAATCAATACAATTGAGAAAATAAGTATGTCTTTGTATTTATGAAAAAAAAAGTTCTTTTATTTTTTGCAAGCTTTGACAAAGTCACCCTGTTTATGAAACATGCCCGAAAAAAACCCTGATTACTATATTATCGTGGTTTTATGTTGGAGAATTGGCCCTCAATATTGGTCCTTGGGGACTTCATGCAGAATGACAGAGATCAGAGTTGGGGACCTGTGATTTAATGGGTCAGGTGTTTCTTATATAGATCTCTTCTCTGCCTCCTGCCTAGAAATCTAGGAGTTATACACGACTGCTAAAGGAAGAGGCATCACACCTATAATTGACACTATAAAGCCCCCATGCATCCTACAAACAATGAAAATCCAGCAAATTTAAAAATTAATGGTGAGGGAAAATACTGCATAACCCACTAGTCCATCTGTTCAACACTAGGGGGCAGCAGCTGCTAATTTTATGCACAAGAAATGTCGTGCAAAACTCATTCAGGTTTTATTCTAATGGGGGTGTCCCATATGTAATACTGTTCTGTAAAAATAATCATATTTTCTGTATCAAAACCACCACTTCATGGGTCAAATAATCCTTTATACATATTGTAAGTTTAGTTTTGCAGATAAAATCCAGGAAACTACTTTCTCCATAATTGTGACGATTTTTAACTTACAAAGTATCCTCTGAGGGTAGCCAGAATTTGTTGGCTGCCTTGGGTTTGTGAAAATTGATACATAATGTTCAATACACAAGTCAAAAACTGATTCCCAATCTCTGAGCTTTCAGGATTGGTAAATGCATGACTAGATCTACACTGCTGAAAGTGCAATCCTCAAAGTCCTTCAAGAGGGATTCAAAAAGCTTGTCTGAGAGCTGGGAACAAATTAGGGATTGAGCAACAGTATATGAAATAGCTTCAACATGTCTTTTCTCTATGGCTAAATTATCTCATGAACAATTTGAATGAACCATCAATGGGAGCTGAAAAACTTGGCAGGATAATGGTCCTCCATCTTTTAAAGGGCGGATCAAAGAGAGCATCAATCACAGAAGCCCCATGAAACACCCAGTGGCAGTATCAAGTTTTGTAGAAACATTTCTTTGCTAGTGACGGTCAACCTGGTGTGGGTTTGTGAGAGTAATGATAGAGTTTATAACAGGTCAAACCTGCTACAAAAGCTTTAAAGTGTTTGCAAAATTTTAATCTGCTATTAGGATATTTGCTGCATTTGCATTACAAATGTGTACAAATCTAAGTTGATATTCTGATCATTTCAAAAATGCAAAGTTTCACAAATGCTGTATTTCCATTAAACAACAAATACAATTAAATTAGCATGTGAATATGTTTGTTCACGCATTAACTCTTGAAAACTACATGGCAGCTGCGGATGTAAACGCAAGATATATCCATATTTCAGCCATGGCTCTACTGGGCACCATCGTACAACTATTTCCGGTCCTCTTCATCTTTTTACAAGGCAGTCAGTACAGCTGCAAATCTCTCTCCTTTGATGCGAGAGAAGTTTTTTCATTGCATTTTTGTGAAAAAGTAAGAATTTTGATAGGACAGAAAAAAAACACCTCATCGAAGTGGAGAAACTTAAAACGTGAGTTTTTTTCTAAATTATTTCCGTATAACAAATTAGTTTTCGAATTACAATTTTGCGAAATATAATGGCTAATGGAAACACAGCAAATCACACAAAAAAGCCTGAGCCACGATAGAATAGCAAAGCATAAAGCATATCCCTCATTAGGAATGGCCCAGTCAAAATTCAGACTGAAATCCATGAATGAAACAATAAACATTTCTCTCTTTAGATGTGCCAAACCAGTAGACACATACCCGGGAAGGCTTGTACTTGTATTTGCTGCAAAATGTGGCACACTAATCTTTTAGAACTATGAACTAAATCTGAAAACTAAAAGTCTTCATTAACATCAGGCTGCTCATTTTCTCTGCAGGTGTCCATCCTAAGAGAGAAGCTGGGTGTGTTTGAGGCAGAGGTACTAAGTTTAAAGCGTGCCCTCAGTGAAGCAAGCAGGGGGGCAGAAGTGATTGTGAGCCCTAACTTAGCTGCAGCAGGGCTGCTGCCACCATGGGGAACTGTCCACTGCCCCCGAAACCCAACCGAGCCCTCCACCAACTCACTCACCCCCACATCTGACACGCTGCTCAGCCTGCAAAGTGACGAAGCTAAAGCTCAAAGGCAGGAAGCCCAGAGACAGGAGAGGCAGCAGCGTGAGGAAGCTCAGTGGCGAGATGTGCAGCACCGACAGGATACCCATATGCAACAGGACATTCAGATGGGTCAGAACCCACAGATCAGACCAGAGGCCCAACTCCGCCAGGAGGCCCAGCTCCGGCAGGAGGCTCACCTCCGCCACGAGGCCCAAATCCGTCAAGAAGCTCAAATACGCCAAGAAGTGCACATGCGACAGGAAGCGCAGCTTCGCCAGGAGGCCCAGCTCCGCCACGAGGCTCAAATGCGTCAGGAGGCCCAACTCCGTCATGACTCCCAACTCTGCCAGGACATGCAAATCCGTCAGGATGCTCATCAGCCACAGCGGGCTCAGGAGGGTCACTGGGATGAAGCGGGGGAGCTGCGCAGGCAGCTTGAGCAGCTACAGTCTGTACTACGCCTGGAACGCCAGCAGCGGGAACGTCAGGCCCTCAACTTTGACCAGGAACGGCACACCTGGCAGGATGAGAAGGAACGGGTTTTGAAATATCAGGCACAGCTGCAGCTCAGCTACGTGGAGACTCTACAGAAAAACCAAGCTTTGGAAAAAAGAATGAGCCAGTTGGGAGGCAAACAAACCACAGGCTCCACCACCACTGTTAGTACTACCACCACCACATCCCCCACCTCCTCCAACTCTCCACCACCAGCCATGTCACCTTTGTCTCCTCAGCAGCCCCCTTCCTTCTCTAGTCCTTCTTCTCTTTCTGGTCCTTCTTCTCTTTCTGGTCCTTCATCCCTTTCTGGTCCCGCTTCCCACTCTGGTCCTCCATTTCTGTCTGGCCCACCATCCCTCTCTGGTCCACTGTCCCTCACTGGTCCACCATCCCTCTCTGGTCCACCGTCCCTCTCTGGTCCATCGTCCCTCTCTGGTCCACCATCCCTCTCTGGTCCACCATCCCTCTCTGGTCCTCCTTCCATCTCTAGTCCTCCGTCAATCTCTGGTCCCATCGCTCTCACCCTCTCCCCTCCCTGTGAAGACCAAAAGGGTCCTCCATCACTCCACCAGCTCGCCCCTCCCTGGGCCGGACCTTCACGCCTGGAGAGGATAGAGTCAACAGAGATATAGACACAGCTTTGTGAAGTCAGTTCTCTCTTTTTTTCTAAACTTAAGGTGGCAAGACCTCTTACACAAAACCCTGTTTCAGCATACAGTAGAAAACAAGGTCTACCACAATCTGAAACACTTTTTCAAAGCAACAAAACTATCAGGAAACAAACACAATATCAACAGGAAGAAGAACTGCAATCTTCATTATTGCTGAATTTTTACCCTCCTAAGAGGCCTTTCTGTCTCTTTTAGTGGTGCACACCGATACATGTTACATGATCAGAAACGTGCACCACGGTGATGTATGGAAAACATTAAAAAACCAAGGAAAAAGAGTTCAAATCACAGCACTAATACCTGCATCATTTAATGCCCATGCGAGAAAATTAACCAGACAATCAGGGATATTGTCGGAAATGATCAACAAGAATATATTGTGCTGTTTATTCATTGTAAGTCTGTGTCACTGGTTATGTAAAAGTAGAATTAGTGGTCAGAGTGTGTGACGTCAACTTACATTTTTGGCCAGAGAGCGCCTTACCCCATCTTTCTCAGCAAGTGTAAGAGAGTGAACTAATGCTGGGAATCGAAAAAAGAAAAAGAGAGAAAGGGCGTTTATTTATTTGAGTGCTTTAATAGTGATATCAGCAAACCAGCTGCGCAAGACTATTATACAGGGCTGGACTGTTCTCTGTTTAAATCTCAGCAGATGTTGACCTCAAAGGTCATTTACACACACACACTGATTCTTCATGCACAGGGTCCAATATGACCCATTAAAACACGAAAAACCAAGAGAATTTATATTTTCTACTAATTAAATTTAAATACAATTGCTTCGCAGATAATCAGCCCAAACCAAGTATAGATTGCATTTTTACACGTAAGAGAACGTGGATCAGCTCTCACTTCAGATTCTCTTCCGTGACTAAAATGGAACGCTACAGGTCGCCGGAGCACGTTTCCAGCTGAACTCCATCACTGAACTGCAAGAACGTGAATGTACGCGCACAGTTGGAGTTTGAATATTATGATAATTGTGTCTTTGTGCATTCACAGCCAAGAAACTAGACAGTCAGGCAGTCGGTACCCCCAAAGTGAAGAATTTTATAGAATGTATGATATACTTGCGAAAGAAATACCTATAATAGTTATAGATTGTAAATGTGCGGGTGTCAGAAAGTGTGAAAGAGAGTGTGTGCATGTGTGTATACATATGAAAAGCTTCAGCTTATGAGATTGAAGATAGAGGGACTAGTGGCAATATTAATATAGAGATATGCTAAGAGAAAAGATGCATTCCTTATACAAAATGTTCTTAGACATTGTGTAAAATGCAAATGAAAACAAAATGCAATGATTTGCAAATCTCAAGAGGATAAAAAGAGCTTATTTTATATGATGGCGAGGCTCAACCTCATTGGCCGGTCACTCAGAGGGAGCTTGGAGAAGAACAGCTGTCGACTAGGCATATGAATAGGCTTTCTTCTGGGCACCTTGTTTTGGAGGATTTATAGTTAAGTTCTCCTATGAGGAGACTCCAGGGCAGATCCAGGACTTACTGGCATTGAATGGGCTGTAGTGTCTCAAGCGTAGAAAGATGATTAAGTTTCGTTGTTGGACCTGTTACATGAGCAGCTTGATCTTAGATCAGTGGTATCAGATCAGTAATCATAAAGGATTAATATAAAGGACAATCATTTATACTTTAGTTGTATTTTTTCACAACCTGACACAGGAAACATGCTGAATATGGAAGCTAATAAATTGCCAAAATGGCACAACCCCATAAATTAGACTATAGAGGAGATTAATATCCCATCTTCAGCTCCTGATGACTCACCTATTTTGATCTAAAACCTCCATGCTAGTATTTTTATGACAGTGTTGCCTTCAGAACATTCCTTCAAGCTTTTCATATTAGTCTGATAACAATCAACTAGTTGCAACAGATCTGCAGGCCACAAAAACATAACAGGAATTGCATGATCCACCACATCTCAAATTGGTTTTTATCGGGATCTGGGTGACTGTGAAGGTCGCAGGACTATGTTGAACTGACTATCATGTTCAAGAGATCCAATGAGATGACCTAAGATTTGTGGCAGTGTGAATAAACCTGCAGGGGCATTCATCATAAGATAGGCGCACAGTTTGTTCATAAAAGGTTTGATCTGCCCACGAACAACAAAAATCTCTGGTCTACAGCTCCACTGCCAGGCTGAACAATTGATAAGTACCAGGAGGATTGCCTCTTTTAATGACTCTAAAATTTAAAGATTCCCCCTGAAACTAGTTGATATGATCCAGGAAACAATATTCTGATCTTTTACTGTCCAGTTTTGGTGCGCCTGTGTAAATCATAGCCTCTGTTTTTTGTTCTTAATTTAAAGGAATAGCTCCCACTCTGGTGCCCTGCTTCTGTAGCCAGGCTGCTTCAAGGTTCGCCTTTTGCGTGTTTAGAAGTGGCATTCCACATTTCTTGGTCAATTCAGACTGTTAATAATTTTGTATGCAAAAATATGGCTTGCTGGATTTTTTTTTTATCCTCATCTTATGTTAACCCACCAGAATGTTCATAGTGAAATTCTCATTAAGTCAATAATTAAGTAGATACACCAGCTCTTTTGGTAACAAATCCTCAAAATTACTTAAATCCCTTTTACGCTTCATTATGTTTAGATCCTTGAAGGAATTGATTTTGCTACCATGTGATTGCTGTATTTGCTTGTTGTGGCAGCAAGTATTTCAGCCTGGTGAGTGCCAGTTTGTTCCAGAGGCAGGCCTTGGAACAGTTAGCTGGAAACAAGCGAGGAAAGTATGATTTAGCTTCCATTGTTTCCAAAGGAAAAATGTCAGCCTCAGCCTTTTCTAAATAATCATTGAGCCATGGAGGACTGTGGCATGTCCAGATGAAGCTAGTATGTAGATTTTTCTTTTGCTTTACTCCAAAGATTACATTCATCAATGATTGACTCTCTTTAGCCTGAGTGGACTCTACAATATACATCCGGATATATGTGTTTTGTGGCTAAAGATTATAGAGAGATAAGAAGACTCCTGGTATTGGTAGATGGAAAAAATGTTGGCTAACTATAATCGATTTAATGCACACAATTTAAAGCAATGGCTTTGTGATTTAGAAAATAAAGAAAATCAGAAACCAATCAGCCTTAAAACCGGTTTTAATATTTACATCAGGAACTAAAAACTCAGTTGTAACTATCAGGGTGGCCCAGTTCTTAACCTTCCTGGTAGAGTTTACTGGTCAAAACCACAGATACAAGAGAAGCAGGGTGAATGTCATCCTGGCCACAGAAGAATAGACATTTGGTTGTCCATTGCACATTTGTTTTGCACATCCAAAAAAAGGTTTCCCAGCAGGCATTTATTGCTCTTAAGAACTTTCCAGCCCTTTTGTAACCAAAGCAAGACACTTGCTCGTGTTAGGAGAACAGATGAAGTAATGTTCAGTCCATGACCCTCAGCACCCACTGGTTCGTGAACCCTTCAGGATAGGGGTCAGTGTATGCTTCATGCTGGACACTTTAAAGAACCTGGTGTCTTGTTCATGATTGGCAATCAGGTGGACTACAGCTTTGGCTGGTTGTGAAGACAGACTTTAGGTAAAACATGAATCCCTTGATTTGGTTCCACTCATTTCCTTTAATTTTAACAAATGAGTCCAGATAGAAGGAATGAGATATTGGGTAAAGATGGCTGAAATGTGCTTCGTCTATAGGTTCACCACAGAGGATAGAGGGAGGAGAGATGTCCGCATCTCCATCGCAGAGCTGTTACCTTAAATACTTGATCTAAAATAAGAGGGAAGATGATGGATGGTTAACAGTCACCAGTGTTTTCTGTTATATTGTGAATAAAATATAGGTTTAGAAGATTTTCTAATCATTGCATTGTTGTTTTATTTACATTTAACACAATGTTGCAACTTCTTTGAATTTGGGTTGTATAATTTAAAAGCTACATAAAGCTTGTGGGACTGGAACTTTAAACTGAGGGTGAGTATATATATCTAGTAAGGCTCTTACTTGCTTTTGTATAATTTGCATAGACAAAAGCAGAGGGCAAGGAAGTAAAAAAAAAACAGTAAAATTGAGAGGTTTGCCTTTTAAAGGAGAGTATTCAGGCTAACTGCACTATGTAGTGTCCTACACGAGTTATGATGTACAGTAGAGTCAGATGTGGATATCATGGCTTTTATAACTGTTGTTTATGCCAGCATAAAAAAAAAATGTTGCTCAAGAATATTAACTTATCTCTAAGGTATTACATAGTATTATCATCTTTATTACTGTTATTATATTATGGTGAATTGAAAGATGAAAAAAGTGCGTGCCATCTTAGCTTTTCTTTCTGTGTTTTTTTTTTTTTTTTAAATGTGTAGCGAGCCGATAGGCTGACCATAATGGTGCAATCATAGCAACCTTGTCCAAAAAATGAAAAAATAACAATGTTCCTTTTGATGTAGGTGATGTAGTTGCAGTATTGCATTGTTTAGAAAGCAAAATGCTTCTGGTTTTATACATGTTTCAAAACTTTATTGTTTGCATTTATGTTAGTAGTACTGCTCTGGCTTGATTAAAACCATTCATTTGTTCAGATTCAACAAAACTAATAAAGATATGTGAATTATTCAGAGTTTTTTGTCTATGAGGAAGTCTTTTTAATGGTGTGACAAATATTTATTTCATTTGTGTGGTGATTCTTTTTACTTAATTTATTAGACATCAAGTTATGGTTTAGTCTTAATAATCTCTTATAAACTGTTAGAAGTCAAACAAATCCTCTTCATTGTTTCCTAAAATCACCCAGATAAAAGATTCTGTAGAGAATAATCCAGAGCCTAGGGTGCAGCTCCATATGTACACATATTCCTCACTTTTATTTTAATATTATTCAAATAAAAATAAGCTGAGTTCTTTCATTCAACACTATTCATTGTACTCAGGTGGCTTTGAACTGTGCCTTGCATCTTATAAGGATTTCCAGCCCTTCCTGTCCTTGCACAGGATGAGAAGGAAACTGAGACAAAGCGTCATTGCAGGTGCGTCAACAAGAGAAATAAAAACAATATTATGAAATTATTTTCAATATACGCCATTGTAAATAATTTGTAATAAAAGAAAATGTTAATTTCAACAAGCTATCTCAAAGCGAATAGGTGAAACTGAGACGAGAGAAAGGAAGAAAGAAAGTATGACCCTCCTCAGCTTCTGTAGAAATACCGGATGTTGTGTTTGTGTGAAGTTAGCGCGTTGCTAACTGCTTTAAAAATACAACCAGAGAGAAAATAGGCTCCGAACAGGCAAGTGTTTGCATGATAAACGTTTTACCCATTTATTTAAGGTTAGTCCAGCTTAAGGCTAACAGAAACCACCGGTTTATTTCTGCTACTACAACAAATAATAATAGCTTATATGGTTCGATATTATATATTTATATATATATATATATATTAGTATATATATATATATATATATATATATATATATATATATATATATATATATAGTGTCTCTTTTTATTTTAACCTGCGACTGCTTAATCATTTTCATTGCAGAAAAATTACGAACAAATTTACTATTTTCAATTTGAAAGTAGATATTCATTAGAGAGAAAATCAATTAGATTAGAAACATATTGTGAGGCTTTTTCCTCTTTAGTGAACACTACAGCTTTCCTGTAGGATGTCAGGGCGTTGAATTGGACATGAAGCTTTCATGAATTTGTCTATATTTGTGCATCAATTTACAGCTTAAAGACAAAAGACTCACATCAACTTCTAAAAAAAAGTTTTCAAGGTTTTAGGAAGAAAGTCGGGCCCATATTATCTCAAGTCCTCCACCATGCCCAACAGTGGGTGTAAGATGCTTTTCCATAGATTGAGCCATTGTTTCCACCCTAAATCCATCTGCTTCGGTTGTTTCCAGATTCTCAGCAATATCATCCGAACAAAGCACATTTTGCTGTTAAAGTTGCAGTAACGATGTTAAATGTTAATATTTGTAAATGTAGGACAAAAAAATAAAATAAATTAATAATTAAAAAAACTCAATGTCCCAGTCTAATTGGCCTAATTAACCCAACACACCTGCAAAGCCTTCAAAATGTCTCTTACTGTAGGTCAGCAGGTTATACAATCATTGGGAAGACTGTTGACTGGACAGATGTCCAGAGAACGGTCTTTGACACCTTTCACAAGGGTGGTTAGTCAAAAACGTAATTGCCAAAGGAGCTGGTTGTTCAAAGAGTTCTGGATTCACACATTATAACAGAAAATTGAGTGGAAGGAAGAAGTGTGGCTGGAAAAGGTGCATCAGCAACAAAATCCATTAAAGAATTTGGGGGTGCTTCACTAGCAGGTCAAGGAGGCTGGAGTTGGGGCATCAAGAACCAAAACACACAGATGAATACTAAAGATACGATCGTCTGATTCTGTTTCAGGCTCCTCCTGAACCAAAAAAATGTCACGGGTGTCAAGGCTTTAAACATTGTGGTTTAAAAACCATTCATATTGTTTCTATATTTTAAAACCCTGGAACCACCGGACTTTTCTCTGTACAGGAACAGGAAGCACTGAGTAATGTAGTGCTGTAATGTAAAATTGCGAAGCTGCAAGTTGTCACATAAAAACCTTAAGACCACTGAAGTGTAGCCATAAAATGTATAATTTATTGTAGATGTTTGTTATTTGAAAAGACCTTCCTGTATAAATAAATGCATAAATGTAGGGAATATCATTTGCCACCTAATTTAATTGCATAATGCGTGAATAGTTTCTTGCAGTGCTGATCTTAACTACAAAGGTCATCTGGTTTATGAAATAGCATTTCATCAAGGCTAACATATGCTGCAGAGCTGCTAACCTGTCTCCTTTGAATTTGATTCACTTAGCTGCTTTATAGTAAATATGGGAGAGAAAGTTACCATTTTCCTTTTAGTGAAGGGAGATGGAAGGATGTTTGATGTCGATTGATCATTAAATTTTTTTAGTTTGCAAGGCTTGTGTAAAAATTTCTGTTCATATTATCTTAATTTTGTGATTTGCTGAATAAAAGATGTTGCCTTGGCCTTATGTTACCTGTACGTGACAGAAAGTATTGTGTTGGTTTGTTTTTTCACTTTGTGCCTCGCAGGTTGGAAAACATGGTCTTCAACCTCTGTCTACCACACTTTTCTACAACGGCTCATTGCAACAAGGTGTGACATGTTTTAAACGCCTAATCTCATAACTGTACAACCCCTCAAGGTGATTTGTTGTTGTTTTTTTTTTACCTGCCAGCTGATTTCGCAATATTAAGAATCGTTTTTGTGGGATGAAAGGACTTACTGTCCTCACACAGATTAGACAAATAGTATGTTTTGTGGATGTACTTCTCTTTCTTAGAAAAGGCTTGAGAAAATTTTTAGTTTAAGAAGAAAAGCAAGACAAGACGTTTCTCTGGCGGTTTGTGGAGGAAGGCCAGGAGAATAAAAGAGCAGTGGACAAAGTGATGTGTGGGAGAGAGAATCTCATCTGTCCTTGTCCCTTTTATTGGATCTCTGTAGCCTATCATAGCTATCTTTTTTCTGCACTCAGGACATATAATATATACCTTTATTCTGTAAAGAAAATTACACATTTTATCCCATTTTTTATGCCTCCTCGTCTTTTATGTCATAGAAACTGTTGTCCATGTCTGCCATTTCCATTTGTGAGCATAAAAGATACATCGACCAGTGATGATAAAGCTTTTATTGATGTCATGCATATCTTTTCTATATCTTAAGCTCTGTGCAGATGGTTATGATGTTACAAACATTGTGTCAGCTGACCCTGCTCTACGGAAACGAGGATTCAAGCTGGAATACTTCCTACGCCCCCCTTTACATGTAAGATTGTGCTCATCTAACTAAAAATAAGAAATCACATACTTCTAGACTTGGGTGCATATTTTTTCTTGCGTGTTTTTGAAAGTAGCTGGTTATTTTGTCCCTTTTTCCTCTCCTCAACTTTAGCAGTTTTTGTTGCTTCATACCTGTTTTTGTCGAAGCAAAATTGTGTTGTGACTCTAATGAATATCCATCTGCTGATATTTTAAAAAAGTGTAGCACAAATTCTTAATTAACAAACTACAATGGTGTAAGTAAAGGTGACATTCAAGTATTTTTGATTTCTCTAAATATATGATTAATAAGAAAACAACCTGATGCGCAGTGGTTAAGAGAGTTTTAATAGTGTTTCAACTATACTTTAATTATATAGCGCTTTAAGATACAACTCAAGCGCTTTAACTTTCCTAAAACTCTAATAATTCTAAACATAATAGAATAAAAACAGATTACAGACTCCTCTTAAAACTGAACAAAAATAATCATTATTTGATACCAATTCAAAGACAAACAGCAGCATTTTGGACCAGCTGTAATTGAGCTACTAAGCATCTTTTAAGCCGAAATGAGAACATGGATTAAAACAGGGATCTCCAAACCTGGTCCTAGAGATCTACTATTTTAGGTGCATCCCTGCTCGAATACAGCCGATTCAAATGACTGAATTACCTCAGCATGCCGTTACATTTGGCAAATGTGGTAAAGGACCATTTGGTTCAGCTGCGTTAGAGCAGGGATGCATCTAAAACCTGCAGGTCAGTAGATCTTAAGGACCATAGTTGGAGACCACTGGATTAAAGTCTCAAAATGATGTTGTGACAGGAATGGCTTCAACATGGCCTGTGAAAATTTTTTATTACAGAACACTGATTCATTTTCTTTAAATCTCCTGAATAAATGTATTGCGGAAACCAGATTTATTACATAGAATAGAGCAGAAATAATATTCGGTTGGAAATTCAGGGGTACCAGCTGCAAATTGAAAGCAAAAAGAGCATGCATATGCAAGAGTGGACATTGCCTATTGTGAAAAGTATCACTTTATATAAATATAAAGAGGGTGTGAAGGGTGCCCAAAAATTTTACTTGAGTAAGAGTGGCACTACTTCACCATATTTTTACTCAAGCAAACGAAAAAAGTAGCTTTTTGAAAAATTACTCAACTACTGAGATCAATCTACTACCCATAATCATGACAACTGATTTGATATTTTATAAAATTATGTCAAATTTAACAAAATATCAAATAAATAGCAAATTCTGGTGTTTCCAAGAATAAAACATATAACATACAGTGATTCCACAATCAAAATTTTAGGTAGGATGAGTTATAAAACGTACCAAATCAATAGCTACAGGACGTAGAATAGGTTGAATTACAGTACTCCGTTTAATGCATAAACAAAAAAAGATTTAACCAATAAGCCTCGAGTACAAAAAATTGGAATATGTATGTATGTACATATA